AATGACCAAGTTCTAAGGAGACCACATTTACACAGAGAACTATGTTTTTGTAAAGCTAGAAATTATGCAAGAACATGCTTCACATCAATTTATTTTGACAGTTTAAAAATTCTACAAGTCAAGATGATTCCTATTTGCACAGTAACATGGCCAATAAAAAGATGTCCACTCCAAACTGATCATATTTTACATTTAGCTTGTCTCACATTCCTTGATTTAAACATTCAAGATGGCGGTGTGCATGAGCTTCTTAAACACTTAAAATATACTTGCCATGAACTCAAAAGGAAAAACAATTTTTTGTCTTCTCATTTTTCTTACAGTTTGGAGAATGAAATAAAGTGTGTAACACATATAACATTGCCACAAGTCATACTTCTATCAAAATGCATCACATAATTAACAGTTCTTTAAGTCAGTGTGGTCCAACCAAATTATAGCACACATTTAACCGTGCTACAAGTCCAGCCAAATTATAGCACAAATTTAACAGTGCTACAAATCAGTGTGGTCCAACCAAATTATAGCACACATTTAACAGTGCTACAAATCAGTGTGGTCCAACCAAATTATAGCACACATTTAACAGTGCTACAAATCAGTGTGGTCCAACCAAATTATAGCACATATTTAACAGTGCTACAAATCAGTGTGGTCCAACCAAATTATAGCACATATTTAACAGTGCTACAAATCAGTGTGGTCCAACCAAATTATAGCACACATTTAACAGTGCTACAAATCAGTGTGGTCCAACCAAATTATAGCACAAATTTAACAGTGCTACAAGTCAGTGTGGTCCAACCAAATTATAGCACAAATTTAACAGCGCTACAAATCAGTGTGGTCCAACCAAATTATAGCACACATTTAACAGTGCTACAAGTCAGTGTGGTCCAAGCAAAGTATGGCATAAATTGAACAATGCTATAAGTCAGTGAGATCCACACAACTTTCTGGCTGACTGCCATGTAAACCATTCCTAAAGTCTGAATAAGCTGGAGATATCTCATCAGATGATCCTGAGGAGGTCAAAGGCATGTCTGGGCTGTCAGACTCTTTCCGTTTGGCCGTTGGTTTAAAGGTTTGGCCAGACCTATACCCTGGATCGGTGCTTAAGCCCGCAAGCATTGGGGCGGGACGAGGAGCCCGTTTAGCGATTGGGGGAATATTTTGTGTGCTATTTGCTGCAGTGCGATGCCCCTGAGATTGTATCCCACTTGGGACACTGCCATTCTTTAAAGTACTTGTTTTACTCGGTTTCTTGCCCGGCTGCTTAGGGGCGTTGCTTTTTTTGTGATCCAAGTAAACCTGGTTGTACATTGTGTGACCAGATATTTTGGATGGCCTTGAACGGTCATCAATTCCACTGTCTCTGAGACTGAACTCTTCAATGTCGTCCTCCTGATTACTTTCTACCACTCTACGTTTTCTACCGCGACTGCTGCAGCTGACCCTCCTCCCTTCCGGTTTTGAATGTGGGATGCCAGCAGAAAAAATGGTGACTCCGGAATGGGTTGGGCCAGCTGCGCTCAGGTCAAAGTCGTCAAGGGTAATGGCCCGACCCACTTCGTGGTCCTCAAAGGTACTCTGGCTTGTGAAAGCTTGATCATCCGAATCACTTAGACTGTAAGGAAGGATGGAATAGAAAGATTACTTAATGTTATTAATTTTGACCCCGGTCCTACTTTATTTGTAAAGCATATTTTATGTATAATGGATCTTTTTTTGTAATGTAATTAAAGTAATTAGTTCCCCGTTTCTTTTCCCTAAATCAATAATATGTATTAACAAAATTGATATGTTGCCATGTAATAAGATTGACGTAATATATTTTGATCCTGAATGAATTAGATGTCTAACCATAAAATTTCTTAGAATTAATAATTTTATGTAAGTAAACATAAAATTAATTAAATAAAGTTTCCAAGCCATTGTTAGTGAAGCAACTAGAAATATAACATCAATAAACTGTATGTTTTCAATTACTTAACACATATGAATGACAAAAAAACTGATGTGAATAACATTAAAATAAACACAATTTTTTCATAAATTATAGAGTTGGAAGGAGATCAAGATTACCATTAGGTTTCTTAAAATTAGAACTTGCCCATTTAATTGGCTAACTAGGTCAGGTCAAAAGTTGATATTGGCATCTTAAAGCCTTACAAGTTAGCTGTGTTAAATAGGTCAATGTAAGCACTATATGTATGCACTGTATGTGAACACTTCATTATGCTCCATATGTATGCAACAAATGTAATCATTGTATGCAAGCATTGCATTAATGCACTGTACTTATGCACTGAATATAAGCACTGTATGTATGCACTTTTTGTAATCACAAAGTAGGCCTCGTTGTTTTATAATCAGCCCTATATTACCTATGTTGTGTTAACATGCAATCACATTGGCCAAGGTAAGCATGTTGTGTGTGTGTGGGGGGGGCGTGGTGGTGGAGCAGAGCTAAATGGTTACATGTGTAGCATCATTACTCACAGGTCCACACACCACAAGAAAAATACTTCTGTACTTTTCATGCAAGCTGTTTACACTACGTAATTTCTTCTTCTCTTCTGTGAGTTTTTTTTCTTTGTTGTGGTATTGAAAGATCGGTGGGGGGGGGGGGGGTGTCGGGGAGAGATTTGAGGGAATCAAGTTTTTTTTGGGCCTACGGCATTACATCAGATAGGCATGTTTTAAATAGATTAGTTGTACTAATGTCTTCAGGGCAGCAACTGTGAAATCTTAAAGGGGTGACAGTTCAGTTGTAAGGCCTACAGTTGAATACGTCAATGTTATAGCGATATAGCAAGCCTTTGATGCAACGTCAATGGTGCAAACTTATATTAAAAAAAAAAAATTATGATAGCTTGTTTATATAGATATATTTTTTACAAGGATAGCTTGTTTACATGTATAACTTGGTTACATGCATAGGTTGTTTAATATGGATAGCTTTTTATAGTGATGGCTTGTATTAACCGAAAGCTTGTTTATCTGACAGTTTGTTTTTAGTGATGGCTTGTATTAACCGAAAGCTTGTTTATCTGACAGTTTGTTTTTAGTGATGGCTTGTATTAACCGAAAGCTTGTTTATCTGACAGTTTGTTTTTAGTGATGGCTTGTATTAACCGAAAGCTTGTTTATCTGACAGTTTGTTTTTAGTGATGGCTTGTATTAACCGAAAGCTTGTTTATCTGACAGTTTGTTTTTAGTGATGGCTTGTATTAACCGAAAGCTTGTTTATCTGACAGTTTGTTTTTAGTGATGGCTTGTATTAACCGAAAGCTTGTTTATCTGACAGTTTGTTTTTAGTGATGGCTTGTATTAACCGAAAGCTTGTTTATCTGACAGTTTGTTTTTAGTGATGGCTTGTATTAACTGAAAGCTTGTTTATATGACAGCTTGTTTATAGTGACGGCTTGTATTTAGGAAACTTGCGTAGCCTATATGATAGCTTGTTTATAGTGATGACTTGTATTTTGGAAACTCGTTTATATGATAGCTTGTTTACAATTATAGTGATAACTTGCTTATATACTTAAAAGAAAATATATCGATTAAAAGTCAAGTTCCGGAGAATTAGTATTACAAAATATAATATGTAAGTTATAAAATACGAGATTGTCATTTTGTGATAAGGAAAGTTTCAATGTAAGTCCTAACAAAACTTGTATTAATGTAATCTGAAAGACTCCTACCTTTAGGCGGTTGTAGTGGTCCTATAGTTTTGCATGAAATAAATTAGTAATGTAACAGTATTAAGACAGCAATGTTGAAATGAGATCAGATATGCTAATTGTACTTAAGTGACATTTCAACTGTCTGATATGATATATGTATCTCTGACACAATCTAACAAGGAGTGTCATTCCAACTATCTCAAACACTTGTGCCCTTTGTCTGACACAATCTGACATGGAGTGTCATTCCAACGGTCGCATATACTTGTGTCCTTTGTCTGACACAATCTGACATGGAGTATCATTCCAACGGTCACATGTACGTCTGTCCTTTGTCTGACACAATCTGACATGAGTCAGGCAATAAGCTCAACACAAAATACAGGAGGGCTCAGTGGTAGGGCTCAGTGGTAGGGCCAGTCCTGCTCACTGGTACTACCAAAAATTATTTGATATATTTGAGAAAGTGTATGAAAACATGGATAGCCTGTATCAAGTCAATCTACAAGCCTAGGGGAGTTAACCACATTTCAGTGAAACAGTTGGAAGCTCCCCAGTTCGATAACTCTTGCCTGAACTAAAAATAAATAGACAAAACACAGGTACTAATTGTAATGTCCACTACTACACTACTGCTCAATTTTATACCTTTAAGCTAACTATCCCACAGGACCAACAACGTGAACATACGCAAAACATGTTTTAACAACCATGCAAGAGTAGACAATAGAGAATATCAAAGCACTGCTATATTTACTAAAGACATTATTATCTGGCTTTGGACTGGGTGAAAAATAGTAAAACATTAAGGATAAAGGAAAGATTGGTTCAAAATTCTCTATGTATTACATTGTCTTACATTAAGGATAAAGGAAAGATTGGTTCAAAATTCTCTATGTATTACATTGTCTTACATTAAGGATAAAGGAAAGATTGGTTCAAAATTCTCTATGTATTACATTGTCTTAATACAAATGAATTTATGGCACCCTCAATATGTATGTGATGTTAAGGAACAAAATTTGGTATCAAAATATTTTAGTCTGTCGTAACTAAATTGATTTCAAATAAATTAACTTAGTTAAAATGGGGAATATTTGATATCATAGGGTACTCTTGAAAGCAATCCATCAGAATTTAATGGCAGAAAAAGTAAACAAATCAAGGTCTAACATGAAAGGAATCATCTCAACATCAATAGCAACATGCTGCATTATTTTCAACTCATTATTTTTGTCAAAATTGCCTAACCCAATTCTGTAAATGTAACTCATTCCATCCACCATATTATTATAACACAGTTGAAGCAACCTACCCATCATCACGTCTATCCAACATAATCTTCTCTAAGAATATGGGGTTGGCACTGTGAAAGAGGGAAGTGCACACATAGAACCAGTTAAATAATGTGATCTACATATTTTGAGCAGCTACAAAAATTGACATTAAACATTTCTTTCCTTATGTGAGCTGATAAATTTTTCTAAACAGTTTTTGTTAAAAATGTCATCTAAGTTTCATTTGAAACTCAAGTTTATTTTGATTTAACATGGAATAAAATATTATCTCATTTCATTTATAATATACATATCTGAAAATTCGAAATTTAACAACAGCTGAAGCACATTTCTTAAGAGTAAATTTAGGGCCTATTTGAGCAAGCTAAGCCTAACTAAGCAACAGTGAGATTGTTTAAACATCAACTTCATTATATTAATCATAGACCATCAAATATATTGTGTGTATATTTCCCAGGACACTAAATAAAACCAATATTAAAAATTAGACTTAACAACAGTGAGTTGCTGTTAAACAATTAATTGCAATCGAATGTGTGTGTAAAGCAACAGGTTCCTGTTCAGTCCACATGTACACATTTTGACGCAAAGGCTAGATTGGGTTTCCTAAAGGCACCAAAACATTCTAGAAACTAAAGGGATGAAATACATTTTTTTTTTAAAAATTGCCTTGTGGGCATCAAACTTATTTAATTTTTATATTGCACATCCCACCCCAAAAACTGCATTGACCCCCACCCCCCAATTCATCCATGCATTAAGTGACCAATCACATCGCAAGGCTCAAGCTGAGTAAACAAAGGGCAAGTAGTCAGGTCAAGCGTAGATAAGAGTTTAAGAGTTAGAGTTCATAATCCTCTAACAGCTATCCCCATGCAAGCGAGACAACAGATCTAGTTAGTTTAAAATGTACCGTACGAGGTGTACGAGTTACCTGTAGTAAAAGCTGGCCTAGGTGGGCTTATGTAGGATATATAACTGAAATTCAGAAATTCTTTTTATTGTCAAGCAACCCCTGACAATAGAACCAAAGTGTTCATCCTTTACTATTCCTAGCAAGGTTAGGCATATCCTATTTAATACATTGATTATTTAATACTTTTTATTTAAAATTTATTTTAAAAATTGTAAAGATTTAAAATAATGTGACACCCAATTTTGTGTTGTGTGATGGAGAGAGATTGCATGGAACAGACATGTTAGTTAGATATCTACAATAATCTCATTGCAAATAAAATTTTAACAAGGGTGACATACAAGAGTATAAAACTGAAGCATCTATAAAATAATTATAGATTCCATTTAAAGCAACAGAACACACAAAGTGATTTGAAACGAATATTAAATATACACTATTATAAAGGATCATTTGTCAATGAATCATGCAGCAGAACTTTCCAGTCAACTCTACTCTCTAAACTTTCAATAAATTTAAATTTTAACAAACTAAGCCTTTTGTACATGCTAGCCTTTATCATCATTGTGGTGAATATATAAACATGAATCATCTGGGATTTCTGACTTTTAAATTTGTAATTTTGAATATCCAGCCAATATCCATAATAAAACAGCATTAATGAGATGCATGTCAGCTGGTGATCAATTCATTAATGAGATGCATGGCAGCTGGTGATCAATTCATTAATGAGATGCATGGCAGCTGGTGATCAATTCATTAATGAGATGCATGGCAGCTGGTGATCAATTCATTAATGAGATGCATGGCAGCTGGTGATCAATTCATTAATGAGATGCATGGCAGCTGGTGATCAATTCATTAATGAGATGCATGGCAGCTGGTGATCAATTCATTAATGAGATGCATGGCAGCTGGTGATCAATTCATTAATGAGATGCATGGCAGCTGGTGATCAATTCATTAATGAGATGCATGGCAGCTGGTGATCAATTCATTAATGAGATGCATGGCAGCTGGTGATCAATTCATTAATGAGATGCATGGCAGCTGGTGATCAATTCATTAATGAGTTACATGGCAGCTGGTGATCAATTCATTAATGAGATGCATGGCAGCTGGTGATCAATTCATTAATGAGATGCATGGCAGCTGGTGATCAATTCATTAATGAGATGCAAAAATGCTGGTGATCAAGTAGCCTACAGTCTTTAAATGTGTTGCAGTGAATCTAATATAGATTTACAAGCTTTGTGCATTTCTTATCCAACCGTCAAGCTAAAATGTTCTGGTTTTATTAAGTTTGAATAATCAATTTTATTTTCATAACAAGAATTTCAGGCATATCAGTTTAAAAATTTTTTAATAGTCTTATAATATCTATAACCTAATTGGTATCATAAAGCTGTTAGTCAGCATTAGCTTATTAAAACCTGTTTGACAGCATTAGCGTAAAAGCTATTAGACGGCATTTGCGTGGGATTCTTCAACTTTTTGAAGTAATTTTTGGGCAATAAATTATTACATGTCATTGTCATATAATACTGAATGTGTTTTGATAGTTTTAAATTCTAAATGAAGACTTATGCAATAAAATGTAAAATGTTTCTCACTTATCTAAGCTGCTACTATTAGATAAAAATGAAACTTAACATAATTGATCATGCCAATTTTGAGATACGTGACGTTGTTTGAATAAGAGCATCTCTGTTGTGTGAGTGGGCCTTTAAAGTCTATGGAATGATTTAAAAGGATTAAAAACAAAGGCACAGCATAAGTGGGGATCAAAACATACAGACTCAGGACAGACAAACGGTGACAACCAAAACTGAATAGTACATGAAAACACTCAAAAAAATACATACAATTAAAATCTGGTTTGTCCTTCAAATAATCTCGGTCTGATGCAACAAAGTGAAAAGAAAGGAGAGAAGAAAATAAAAAGGAGAGGTAAAACACTAATGTAAAGTTTGCATCTAACAGAAGGAAATCTTAAATGGTCAGGCTAGTAGTGTTGCTTTCTTTTTTTTTATATCTTATAAAGTTATGCAGAGCACAAAACTATTTTGTTTTAAATTACTTAAATGTGTAGTTGTCAGAAATATATTGTGTTAAATAATGTCTCTGCCTGTTAATTTTTAAGTTCTCTCTTGCAAATCTAGCAAATTAAGCTGCTTTGCTTTACACCAATTTGCTTTGTATAGCAATTAGCTCTGTAGGGCCTATACCTATTTGCTATGGGGGAATATGAAGTTAAATATTGCCAGCAATTCATGTTTTTATAATACAGGGAGAAACATGCATTTCTAAGGGTTAGATTTTAGCAACCAAAACCAAAGCCAGTTCAAGCAATCAAATTATATTAGCTGTGGAACAGATGCAAACTTAATCACAAGCAAAATATTATGAATTCATATTAATTTTCTAACAAAGAATATCTATTCAGTAAAATGTAGCAAAAGAGGAAGATTTAAAAAAAAAGATATAATATATCTAATATATTATGAAAGGATGCAAAAATAATCATAATTAGTAGATAATTACATTTGTTAAAAATATAAATATTATGTAGGAGACACCACTAACATAGATTAGTTTAATGTCTAACACAGATAAGCAATTAAGTTTGTTGAGAATATGCATTATAGTAAACTAAAATGGACTTGATATGCAGAGAATTAAAAAACCCAACATTGTGCTATAACTATAACCAATTGTGTAATGATTCAATGCTATAATTAGGATTAATGCTAATGGCTAAAATAAAGTAAAAGTAAAATCTTACTTTTTTTTCTAGTTAGTTACCATAATAATTTAAGTGTTTTTTCTATGTAGTTACCCTAAAATATTTAAGGGTATTTTTGACAAAATATGAGGGTTAAACTGCAATAAAGCTAAATGTTTAAACATTGTTTTGCAAGGATCCTTGTAGCTTACTGAAGATTAGTCTACCAAATAATATATTTTCAAAACTAAATTTTTCTAACACAAAACAGATTCTTCTAGATGAAGAAAAAACATACTTACTTTTCAAAGGAATTAATTTGTGTTCCTGGAATATCAGCTTTGTATAAGTCACTGTCACTAGGAGCTGTAATGGTTAGGAGATTTCATTTTGTCATTATCAATAAACAGTTCAAGAAAGCCTTCTAAAATATAAAATTTTAACTTACTCATAATATTTTCATAGTTAAACTTTAACAATTAAAAAGGCAAAATTGCAAACAAGACTCTTGTAAATTGAAGAAATAACATGTAACAAATTATTATGGCATTTAGAATGGCACATAAAAGTAAGCGGTAATGACTTTAAGAAAACAAAAATAAATATATTTTTAATAAGTAAGAGTAATTTATTGTAGAGTATTTTTAAATTTAGTGTCAAATATTTTATTATGTTGTTTGAAACACAAATTTATCATAAAAAGCTAATTAAAAAGAGATATCCACTAGAGTTTAAGATAAAATAAAATAAATTATAGATCAATTACAGTCTCAAACATTAAATAAGATTATTCTCGATTTTTCAGCGCTTTTTTAAAGAAGTCTTAAACTCATGATTCAGGGTCTTTGTTCAAATTTTTAAAAAAAAGCTTGAATAAAATGAATATTTTTACAAATATGACCACATTTAACTTCGTACCAACTCCTGAGTTGACTGTAAAGAACAATATTATGGACATAAATGTTATTGTTTTGACAGCAGTAATATTACAATAACGTTTTTTTATAATGAAATAAATGAATTAGTCTTTGAATGCAATCTTAATTGTGAGAACAGCATGAGAAGTCATGTAGCATACAGTAGATATGTGACTCAAATGTAGGAAACTTTCAACCATTTTTTACATTTCCTTGTGCACATTCTTGTAAAATTATTTATCTAAATATTAACATTCTAAGGTAATTATTTAAGATTATGGTACTTCATCCCATCCCACCTCACCCCCCCATCCACATACTTACTGTAAGCCATTGCTGTAGCTGCCTTTAATTTTCTTTGATATCTGAAGATGAAAGTAAAATTTCAGCAACCCGTTTTTAAAGTTAAACACATTTTTTTGTTTAAATTCAAAATTTTCTTTAATAAATATGTAAGAAAACTTTAAGAAATTAAAGATCTCTCAGCTGTTTATTATAAAAACTTATCAAATAGCAAGTTTCAGTTAAGAACAGTTCTTACCTTCTATGAACATAAAAGAGCACAATGGCCAGGACAATGCAGATTAAACCTAAAACAACAGATATGAGGATGACGGCCATTTTTAACTTTTCTTCAACACTATTGTCCACCTTGTCCTGTTGGGCAGGCTGTGAAAAATGTCAACAACAGTTATCTTCTAGCAATTGTATAAGAATGATAGATGACAATTCTTATCAACATTTACTCTTTATGATATTTGCAGATACTAAAATCAATGTAATGATACATAAATTGTCTTTGATAAATATACAAGAAATAAATTTTTTTCCCCAGTCCATTAATTTATCCCTGTCATGCTTTAAATCTAGTTCACCTACTTGTAGTGGATAATATTGTTTAAGCTGTGTGAAGCAAGTATTAAGAACAGCTCATTCAATAAAACTAAAACGAATAAAGTCAAAGATAACAAAATCACAAGGAATGTCCAGGTTAATTCTGGACTTACAAGTCTCAAACTAATAAAATTAACTTCAGATAGATTTAAACAAAACAAAATGAGAAGAAAACTCCATACCACAATCTGCAGGACATTGTATTCATTGAGTAAGGTGATCAACTGGGCATTCTTCTGATCAATCATGCTGAAATTATGAATCATAAGAGGGTTGGACTGCGGTAATTATGAATCATAAGAGGGTTGGACTGCGGTAATTATGAATCATAAGAGGGTTGGACTGTGGTAATTATGAATCATACGAGGGTTGGACTGTGGTAAAGTTTTCAAGAACATTAATTAGATACAAACAATTTGTGTAAATAAAACAATATAAGTTCAGCTTAAATAATGATCAAACATTTATAAAACTCCTGAAAAGCATTATATAAATATATATAATAATCATGATTTAAAAGTTAATGGAAGCTTATAATCATACCTCAAAAGCCTTAAAGCAGGGATGACTTCATTGGTCTTATAATCTTCACCATGTATAAACAAATCTGTCCTTTTGATGAGAACACACAACTATGTTTATAACCTATTTGTTTTGTATTGATAACTAAGCCGATTAGATATTTTGAATTACATTGTTTTTTTCTAAATCGTGTAGGAAGTAATAATTTAGGTATTTTATTACACATTCCTAAAAAAATAGTTTGTATTGTTTTCTTTTTAAACCGCATGTTTATACACCTCATATTGTCATGTATCTGTTACAATTTTTTTTTAAATATTTGGGTGTACAGTGAAAATTAACTTACTTGGCCAAGTCTGCCTGGCCTGTATCTGTCTGATGTGTTTGAATAGAATCAACAACAATTCTGACACCTATTTTATTACTTAGGGCACTGGAAGTAAAAGAAAATTTTTAAAATATATTTATAGTCTTAGTAAATTGAAAAATTACTTATATTATTTTTCTTTCCATTTGAAACCAAAAGAAATATTTTGGTAAAAACTTTTTAAGCCATGTCTAAATTTCTTTTATGAAAGAAAAAAAAAATTGAATGAGAAGTCAAATTTTACCTAACAATAATGTCTTTAATAGGTCCTACTGTGTCTATTGTTCTTCTAAACACAACTATCAGCCGCTGATCATCATTAATCAAAGAAATCTGAAATTCAATAAATGTAAATATTCATGAAGATGAAAAAAATAAATCATTTTTAAAAATCATATTTGTTATTTGTGTGAGCTGTATGAACTCTGTAGCTCAATATTTATTTACAGCTTACAATTCATATCACAAAACAGATTCAATTTGTACACAACATTGTGAGTGTGTATGCCATATTAAAATACTCTCTACAGCTTAGATATATTTGATGACATCTTATTGAGAACAGCATAGTGAGTGTGTAGGCTGTATTAAAATACTCTCTACCTCTTAGATATATTTGATGACATCATATTGAGAACAGCATAGTGAGTGTGTAGGCTGTATTAAAATACTCTCTACATCTTAGATATATTTGATGACATCATATTGAGGGCAATTTCATTTTGAAAAAAATGAAACCATCAACTGGTAGGTCAACATAATATTTATGATTTGAGCTCAATGATTTAAGTGTTGGGGAGAGAGTCATGTGAGTAATGGGATATTGTTTAGCTGCTGAAAGAGTTAGTATAAGCCAATGTAAATAGGTTCATAATTCCGATTATAATTTAAAAAAATTTCTTGATATCAAAAATAATATCAACTTAGAAATATAATATGCACTTCCATTTAGTCAAAATAAATGTCAAATGTACACATATTTATTTTTTCACACCTTTAAAGATGTTTAAAGAGTTTGAAATGAATTGTCTTAATTAATGGCAGTAAGAGATATTTTTTAGAGAAACCTAAAAGGATTACTACAACTATCCCATACAACTATCTAAATCCAAAAAGAATGACATTTGCAACCAAAGTGACAATTAAATCAACTTGCATTCAATGTGGGTTGACCAAATCTTTTGTTTGTTAATGCCAGTTATTTCTTAATAAATTTGACTTAAATATCTTTCCATCACTCAAAACTCTAAAATAATGTTAAAACTATTTCAAAAGCTCACCACAACTAAAGTTACATGAGAGTAACGTATCATGTCTTAGTGTCAATATTTTTTTAAAAACATAAACCTGATTTTATCATTTATTATATATTCATGGCAAGAATTACTCAAATAAAAGTTTAATGTATATTTAGCTTGATAACAATCGTGTGACACATCTCCCAGCAGCCTACCCAAGTTGTCCAATCCCAACCTTACCCTGAGTCTTGCTGTGTCTGACAGGCCACCTTTGTCAGTCACCTGCAAGTCCACCATGAAGAAACCAGACATCTGTGGCTTGAAATACATGTTAGTTTTCAATGAACCGTTGTTGAAGAGCTTAAAGGGCTCTGTTACTCCCAAACCTTCCAGCTCATTTTTCAAGACATCGGGGTAGGCTCTGAATGGAGATGTGGCATTGAAAAAATCCACGCCCCAACGCTCTGTATCTTTGTCCTCGACATCGTCCTGCAATACAAGTAAACAATTCTGAAACAAGAACTTGACAAGGAACATGTCTTACAAAACCGTTAAACATTTTGAGTTATATAAGAAATATTAGTCTAAATTTTACACAATTACAAAAATCAATGGTAATTGTTACGACCTTTGTTATACTTTAAATGTTACGGCCCTCTTACGTTGTCTAGGGTGTATGAATCTCTCAGATAAAACACAAGGTCCAGTGTAACAATATATAATATTTTATTATTATTTCACAAAACAGGATACTGCTATTGAATGACAATATATTATGGCGCGTGGAACACACATCAGTCCAACTACCAATTATCCACTCGCTCCTATCGCTACTGACTAACTCTTAACTGACAACTTTTGACGACTAACAATTCTTCTCTTGCCCTTCTACCTTTCTTCTCTGACCCTAGCTAACACACATCCCTTTTATAATACCACACAAACAACTCAGCCTAGGCAAACGTTCCACACCACGGACTAACTTCACGCTCTGACCTCAGGATCAACAACTCACAAAACACTCTCACGATTCACGACTCCCCCTACCCAACATTCACAACAAACTAGTTCACAACAGTAATAAAAAAAAAAAAATTTGTAACATATGATGAGGCAAATCAATAGTTGGTTGCTGTTATAGTTATTTATTTAGTGTAAACTGATAAATACTAAAGTTTCCAAATACAATCGCTGGCTTGCCTTCAACTCCAATACAAACTTGCCAAACTGTGTGACCCTTGTAACTCCTAGTGTCATTTCTTTGCTCTTAAAACTTGGAGCATTATCATTGACGTCTTGCACCTATATATTGAATTAAATATATAGAAATGGATATAAATTCATTAAAATCTTAAATATGCTCATTTTATGTGGGGTTTAGTGTTATGAAAATACTGGGGTAGCACAACATAATCTGAATAGTTGAGAATTCATTAGACTAATACACAACCTGTATTTCCAGCCAGAGTTTGTCTGTGTATGTTGGTCTGTACATGAGTGGGTACAGCTGGCCATTTTCAAAAGGGTAGATCTTGTCTGTCACAACATCTGTCCTGTTATTGGAAAAAACAAACACTCTTAACTATTTTTGAGGGTAAAGACAGAAAAAGATACTTTGATAACACATATGTTCACATTTATTTTACTAATGTAATATGTTAAGAAAAACAGCAGACCATCAAGCCAGAGCTCATTGTGTTTTCCCTGACATACCCCTTCTTCCCCCAAACCTAATAGCGCTCGTTAACTAGTCATCCGTGAAGTGGCACGCTGGAGGTACTCTGCCACTGAGACAGCCCCCACCTGCCTTCCACTTGATTGTCTATGGGAGTGGGGAGCATCAACAAAGGTATACCTGGCTAGCTGGTGGTGCTACTTTCACAAACACCAGAAGTTGCACTTCCTTGGAGCTGGGATGGTTATATCTTAGCATCCATGAAAAAAACCCTTCCCATCCCGGGGTGGCGCCAGATGCCCTCTAATAGGGATCTCTACTCTACGTGTGGTTTCTACTTTGAGATCAAGTCACATTGTAGCTGGGACAAAGTTGTTGCCTAGGAACAGTCCCCTCATAGTCTGTATGATACAATCATTGCCATGAGCTGCCACAATCCACCCATGTCTCATATCTATTAATGTCAACATGTAATCATATCCCAACCTATTCCTGGCTTTATTTTCAACTGCACTGGCTAGGTACTGTGCAGCTGTGCCAATGGATAGGTACCGTGAAGCTGTGCCACTGGCTAGGTACCATGCAGCTGTGCCACTGGCTAGGTACCATGCAGCTGTGCCACTGGCTAGGCACCGTGCGGCTGTGCCACTGGTTAGGTACCTTGCAGCTGTGCCACTGGCTAGGTATCATGCAGCTGTGCCACTGGCTAGGTACCATGCAGCTGTGCCAATGGCTAAGTACCATGCAGCTGTGCCACTGGCTAGGTACCGTGCAGCTGTGCCACTGGCTAGGTACCGTGCAGCTGTGCCACTGGCTAGGTACCGTGCAGCTGTGCCACTGGCTAGGTACCGTGCAGCTGTACCACTGGCTAGGTACCGTGCAGCTATACCACTGGCTAGGTACCGTGCAGCTATACCACTGGCTAGGTACCGTGCAGCTATACCACTGGCTAGGTACCGTGCAGCTATGCCACTTGCTATGTACCGTACAGTTGTGCTCTTTTTAATGCAGATTCCATGCAAGACCTGTAACGCGCAGGTCCCCCACATGGTAATATTGTGCCCCTGATAATGCCAAGGGGTCAGCGGTAGCGCCTCTTAATCAACATGCCATAATGGGAATGCCCTACTGGAGCCATGGGGGTATGTATGCCAACAATTTGATTTTAAAAAATGTAGGCCTACTACATTTTATCAAATTGTCTCCCATCTTATACAACAACAAAACATTAATCTCATTTAACATCTCTCCTTAAGAACAAGAAAGACGTTTACTATAACCCAAAACTTTATAATAAGTGCCTATAACAGGTGAATCATTGAATAAATGATAACATCAATTTATTTTAAAGGTATTAAAATCTGTGATCATTTTACTCTTCACGTAAAATTATTAGACACAAGCATTGTTTCAAATTTCATGGTTCTGTAGTGCAATGGTGGCATGGCTCACTCACAATCAGGACACATAAGGTTTGCAATGGTGGCATGGCTCACTCACAACCAGGAGATAGTAGGTTTACAATAGTGGCATCGCTCACTCACAACCAGGAGATAGTAGGTTTACAATGGTGGCATGGCTCCTCACAACCAGGAGATAGTAGGTTTGCAATGGTGGCATGGCTCATTCACAACCAGGAGATAGTATATTTACAATGGTGGCATGGCTCACTCAGGAGATAGCAAGATTCCATTTATTTGTCTTGGGTCATTGCCAGCATGGGTAGTGGCCCAGTGAAGCAAATAGTAGCCTTGCAGGGAAGTTATTTGAAGAGATTATGGGAACTCCTAAGTCACAAAAAAAAGTCCTTAATGACGAAAGGGAGAAGTTAACTTAGAGTGAAAAAAAAAGTTGCCTATTCCACTCCAGTATGACAAATGGAAAGATGTATATGTTTATTGTAGTGAAAAGTTCCTTCTCACTTGTAACAATCATCCAGGGCCTGTATGACGATGTTGACGTAGGGTGTACTCTCTCTGTCAAGTGTTGTGTTTGTGCAGAGCATGCCACTGGGTTTGTCCAGGATAAAAGTGTCTAGCAACGATGAACCTGTCAACAACAAAACAAAGAAAAAAGCTTTAATCTCAATGACTACTCAAGTTAAGCCAGCTTAATTCAACTGTGTAAGTCTTGACATTGTTCTTTTGGTTCCTAATTAGAAGAAATAATGACTCTAATGGAGTCGATCAATTATCTAACATTAGAGGAACGTAAAGAAAAGAAAATAACAGCAACAGATTACCTGTAAGTAATGTATTACTTTTTTTACATAATATATTTCCTGAAAGCTATGTCTTTCCTTTTTTTTTTTCTTAATTCAACTGATAATTTTTTTTTTTTTAATTCAACTGATAATTTTTTTTACTCTGACATTTAACATAATTACACAGTTATAAATTCTACTATATAGTTTATATTCATCTGTACTATGAACAAATTCCGGTACTTACTAACAAATAGTTTTTCCAACACTTTTGAATACGGCTGATTAATAACCTGGGATGCTTCATTTCACAACTCAAATTGTTATACCGTTATGGTACTTATATAGACTAATAGTAATACTGATACTCTGTATAATGAACATTTAAATAAAAGACACATCGCCGAAGTCATCTTACCCACAAGATAGTAACAAATGATGGAGAAGTTCATGTTGACATCTCTATCAATGGCTAGGCTGACATTGGTGCAGACCAGCTGATTTTCTACTATTCCTATTGGGTAAGGCACTTTATAGCCCACAAATTCAGGCTTGTGGTCATTTTTGTCCTGCACTAAAATGACCATGGTCACTGTGGCAATGAATGGTATAGGGATACCGAGATCTCTGGCTTCCAGCTTCAGCTGCAGACATAAAAAAATTAGGCCAAAGTTAACAAAGTGCTGACTCTTAACTTGAAACTTTTTTGGAGTAGTCTCCCTCTTATTGCTCTTTAAGTGCAGAACTAACATCAGCAATCAAATGTTGGAAATAAATTAAACATAAAAAAGTATCTTTAACATACCAAAATATATGACAAGAATTTAATTTCTTCCTATGTGTACTGAAATGTATGAGGATTATATATACACACTTTGTGGTTGTCTAACCTCATAGTGGTTCTGAATTTCTGCATTGATATCTGCTGTTGTGGTGATGAGTCCAGTCACTTTATCCACAGCAAACACACGAGAGCCATCTTTGTCACTGTTCATTGAAACAATAGAGAAATGCACTACGCCATTGGAGCCAGCATCCTCATCCGTGGCTTCTAGTTGAAATACTGAAGTTCCACGTTCTGAATTCTACATGGTGAGGGTCCAGATAAAAGATATTATGCTTTGATTGAAAAAGACAACATCTCCACCAACTCATTTTGAATACGGTAGCTTTAAACGTAATGTAAAAATATTTCACAATATTATATCCTGGGTACCGGTACCAGTATTTTAAATAAATTTATCTAATTTTAGTTTATGAGTGTAAAATTAGACTACATTTTAAACACAGCATGTCAGTAAAAATGCTTTCATGCTATGAAACAAATTTATAGCTGTAAATATTATTTCAGGTTTCAAGGGTTAACGAGGTCATTGTGCTAAATTAAAAAACAACAACAATATATTGAAGTTTAAGTCTTTTTACTTTACTATTGTCCTTCTTTGGCGTGAAGATTGATGAACTATAAAACTTCCTTTTCTACTATTTCCTAGGGTAGATAATATAATATAAGAGTGGTATATGTATTGGTATAATTTACCTCCGGTACATAGATGACAGCATTATCGATGTTTGGCCTGGTAAACTTGGGAATGTGATCATTGACGTCAATAATTTCTATGAAAATTCTCTTAGTTGCATTGAAAATCTGAGCGTTGTTCGTAGCCATGACTGTGATGTAGTAGATACCCGACAAGCCATTTAAAAAAACTGATGGAGTTATCACACCAGTGGACTGGTTGACCTTAAACAGATTTACCCCACTACCATTGGTGGCGTTGGTATCAGTTGTCAGTGAAAAGCTATTGACAGAAAAGAAAATGTCGTTTTTATTCATAACGTTTTAAAGATGTTGTTGTTTTTTTAAATGCATAGTAGACATACTGATCTATGTTACATAATAGGCATACTGATCTATGTTAGTATTTAAAAATAATTTTAAGTGTTACTGTGAATTACACCGGTTCTATTATTAAACAATTTTAAAAATTGGTCGAAAAAAAAATTGTCGGAACCAACTTGAAAGATTGTTCATCAAAGTAACATTAACAAATATGACAAACTCTAAAAATCCTGTGTATGAGCCATTTTGAGCTGCAGTGCTATTAGCTAAATGATCAGCATTAGTTTTATCAATCATAAAAAGTTTCGAGGAAACACCATTATTTAATGTCTGTTACAAGAAATCATAAGAAGGAATACAAATAATGGTACAGGGAGTCCTACAGCTGCCAGGCCTGTCCACAAAAATAAAAACAGATTGACTAGACGTATGCTGGTTAGCAAAGGGGAAAATGTCAAGTGTTATCCTTTCAAATCCCACAATCTAATTCACGGCTGCTCTTCTGGAGATAAGGTAGTACATGTGCTCATCTTAAAAAAGTCATCTGGAAGAAAACTGTGGAAGGAAAGTCTGTCACTAAATTAAATGATAATGAGATAAAATAAATTTCAATTTTTAATTATAAATTACAAGAGTCTGAATTTTTTTATTTTAAATCTTACATAATTCTCCCATTGTCTGTTGTCTTGTCATCTGCATCGTCTGCTGAGACAATGGCTACTATAAATGTCAAATTAGAATTTTCTGGAACAGCTGGTTTTTCCGGGATGACGGACGTGAATTTGGGAGGATTGTCATCCACATCAGTTATATTGATTGTGATTGTATCGGATCGTGTCACCCTCTGTTGATCTAAGTTAGATTTAGAGTCTTTTGCAACCACTTCCAACCTAAAGAAAGCTTTTGATTCTCGATCTAGAGCTCTTGCCACACTGATGTCTCCCTATCAAAGAGATGGAAAGAGTAGAATGTCACACTTTAGATAGCCCATTCCCAGAATTGCTAAATAATTGCATTCATACTAAGTTTAGCCATTGAAGATATGTTGTGCATGAAATTATGGATATTCTAAAATTCTTAAGATTTCTTGAAATTTTCCAATAAAAGAAAAAAAGGGTATACAAAGGTGTATCCCAGAGTAATGGTCAGTGGTCAGTGCAACTGTCTATGAGCCTTACCTTAATGGACAACAAAATATGAGGAAAAAATAAAACAGACAAACTAAATAAATTGAAACAAAAATAATAAAACGTGTACGACGGCTAGCATTACATGTTGATAGTTAACAGAGTCTTCTCCCATTGTCTGATTAAGGATTAAAAAATAAATTATACAATATTAGAGTAAAATGATAACAATAATTAATAAATATAGCACCAGTCCCTGGTGCATTTGTCAACTTATCCACCAGTCCCTGGTGTAATAGGTAACGTATCCTCCAGTCTCTGGTGTAATAGGTATCTTATCCACCAGTCCCTGGTACAGATCCACCAGTCTCTGGTGTAATAGGTAACTTATCCACTAGTCCCTGGTACATATCCTCCAGTCTCTGGTGTAAATAGGTAATGCATCCACCAGTCCCTGGTACAGATCCACCAGTCTCTGAACTTATCCACTAGTCCCTGGTACATATCCTCCAGTCTCTGGTGTAATAGGTAACTTATCCACTAGTCCCTGGTACAGATCCACCAGTCTCTGGTGTAATAGGTAACTTATCCACTAGTCCCTGGTACATATCCTCCAGTCTCTGGTGTAAATAGGTAACTTATCCACCAGTCCCTGGTACAGATCCACCAGTCCACCAAACTTTAATGTTTGGGAAACTCTGATCTAAAGCATTCTACCATTTATTATAAAAATAATGGGAAACATTTGTCAGCTTAAACTGAATATTAAAATGGTGTTGCTCACTCTGTTGAGGAAAACAAACGTTGCAGTGTTGTCTCACTTTGCAGTGTTGTCTCACTTTGCAGTGTTGTCTCACTTTGCAGAAATAGCTATTTAACAAAATATTAACTCTGAAATAAAAGGATGCAGTCCACCTTACTTATCCATTGGTGATTTTAACTAACAGCAACATTCTCTTTTTGAACAGGATAAATAGTATTGGTAATTGGGGTTGGGGGGGGGGGAGAGAGAGGCTGCATGACAAGCAGTTTCCGGATTCTAAACACTTCAATAGAAGCAAACACAAGGGGTCTGATGTTTTGGCTATCAGTGCAATTATGTCCTGTACTGACACATCATTCCAAGTTTATTTGGAAAACACCATGATCCAAAATTATGATACCTTGCAACCACATGGCATAAATATTCTGTTCTCATTCAACCTTATCTCCACTCCCTCCTCATTTTGAACAATTGTATCCCTACCGTTTTTTCAGCAATAGCAAAGCTTCCATCATTGTCTGAGCCTTCGAGGGTGTAATAAACTGTACCATAATCCCCAATATCTTTATCTGTTGCTTTGAGTCTTGTCACAAAATACCCAACTGCCACATTCTCTAAAACAGCAAAGCTGTTGTTGTGAGGTTCAAAGATGGGAGAGTTGTCATTATCATCTAACACTGTCACTGTGACAGTTGCTGAAGATGAAAGCTGTGGGCTGCCATTGTCTCTTGCAATGATCTGAAAGACCTCTGTGTCACTCTTCTCTCTATCCAATCTTGCCTTGAGTTGAACAGTGCCTTTGAGAAAAACAGCGTTTTCAATTTTATTGAGATAAAAATGTTCATTTTTTTGAAAATCTATCATTAAAATTGTTCTCAGATTAATTTCCATAAATGACATTTATTATGCTTTTTTCATCAACCCTTAAAGTTCATTTATAACCTTACCATAAAAAAGTCATCAATATGATGGCACCCTCATTAAACATAATATCATATTAGCAATAAAAATACTTAATGAAAATAATTATATAAAAATATATGTCTAACCATTTACCCCAACTCACCCCCCTCCCAAACATGCATGATGTGACGTAAGCTAACTCTAATTATTATTGTTGTTGACCAATAAAACACCAACATTCTATCAACAAACTGTTATGTACTTACATTACTATAACAACTAACAAATTAATGTGTAATTACATTACTGTACCTTAACAAACACATTGATGTGTAATGGTACTTACATTACTGTACCTGAACTAATCAATTGATGTGCGCTTACATTACTGTACCTGAACTAACAATTTGATTTGAAATAACATTACTTTACCTGAAGTAATAAATTGATGTGTACTAAAGTTTAAACTTACCATCACTGCTGACAGCAAATGCATCAGTTGTGGTCGTACCAATGCTAAATGTGACTGTCTGACTTTCATCAGCATCAGTGGCTGAGACTTGTAAGATAATGGACATGACATTTTCCGCCTCATTAACCGAGGTGCGGTAGACGGCAGATGGCAGGAACTTGGGAGGGTTGTCATTATAGTCAAGGATTGTGACTGTTAGTGTTGCTGATTGTTGTTGACAAAAACAGAGACGTTGATATTTGAGTCATAACAATCACTAGATTGCTGTTTCTTTTACAAAAGTTTTATGTAAGTAGTTCAACCTCATTTGCATTTTTACAAATAGTATATGTTACGGGCAAAGTATGCAATCTAGGTATGCAAAACCGATTTAAAAACACATCTATTTCGCAAACACTTTCTGGGGTGATGCTATCTACCATCTTTTATAGTTAATGGATATTGGCTTGTGTTGCTTATGGTTGAAACGGGATGAAAGACTTTGACTGGATATGCTCGAATGTAGTTTTATATGGTTGCGTCTGTTTTTTAAATGTGGTAAATTTTAGATTGTTTTTATTTCTCTTTATAATATGGTTGACTTTGTACCGCGCTTCGAGCTTTTGGGAATGGAGCGTGTTTTTCAAATAAACTTTATTATTATTATTATTAGGTGCAAACTGTGAAATACATAGGCCGTTATAAACATTCCCGAGGAATTTTATTTTTTGCCTGGATTTCACACTTTGCCTGCTTTCAGTTAGTAAAATCATAAATCTAATATTTCATTGTCATTAATTTATAAGGGAATAATTGCTCATTTGAATAAACCTTTGATTTCCATGAATATAAAATTATAAAATGCCGTATCTCTAAATGAAGTCAGGTGGAAAGTTTTAACACGTTAATTACCAGGTACGATGCTACACTGTAAAATTGTGTTCCGTTTTAAATATTTCTGTCCCAGTACAAGGCCTGAATTGAATGATACAATCTTCACATGTAGACAACAGGAGTATTGTAAAAAATACCCTAAGCAAAGATTTAGTGAGATCAAGAGCTAAGCTGTAGTTACATGCAACATAATTTTTTTAGGCAAGTCCAGTTTTTGACATCCCCTGTGATGCACAAGATGATAAAGCAATTTTATCTTCAGAAATCTCTCATCCTTTGTGGGTACTGGTGGTTTGCAGTGCTTGCTCCATGGCACTATATCACCTGGCCAGATATGTTTAAAGAGTGCAGTCAAATGAGGACAAGACTGCTGTGTGTGTTGAAGCTCTGTTCAGCTGAGTGCAAGCCACTGTGAGCAAACTCAACAATGCACACTGTTTATGTTTCCTTCCGTTCTTTGTTGATCTGATGGTGTTCTGATGGTGATCTGATGGTGATCTGATGGTTTTCTGATGGTGATCTGATGGTGATCTGATGGTGTTCTGATGGTGTTCTGATGGTGATCTGATGGTGTTCTGATGGTGATCTGATGGTGTTCTGATGGTGATCTGATGGTGTTCTGATGGTGATCTGATGGTGTTCTGATGGTGATCTGATGGTGTTCTGATGGTGTTCTGATGGTGTTCTGATGGTGTTCTGATGGTGTTCTGATGGTGTTCTGATGGTGATCTGATGGTGATCTGATGGTGTTCTGAGTTCAGTTCTAGCTTTTCTTTTTCAGTTTTGATATTTTTGCCTAAACATGGTTGTGGTGGTTTAAAATTTGTAGAAAAACAATACAACAAATAGGGATACTAGCAATTGAGGGACAACACATTTTCAATTTTCCCTCCAACCCAGGTACTGAAATAACTAACTGAATATAATTTTCATTGAAAAAACTTTTATGGCTTGATTTCTCAATGAGGTAAATTGAAGTAGGATTTACCTGTCGCCGTTTGTTTTCCAATCTCTGCCTTTGTATCCTCAGCTATCACCTGCAAGATCACCTTGCTGGCTGTCTCTCTGTCTAAACTATTGTTGACATACACTTGTCCAGTGGATGGGCTGATTCCAAAATAATACTAGGTGGATTTAAAAATAACAATGTTAAAAATTATATCCAATGCAAAATATGTTATTTAAAAAAAAACCATTAAAAAAGGAGCTAAAGTGTGCCACCCATGACCCAAGCTTGAGCTAAAGTGTGCCACCCATGACCCGAGCTTGAGCTAAAGTGTGCCACCCATGACCCGAGCTTGAGCTAAAGTGTGCCACCCATGACCCAAGCTTGAGCCAAAGTTTGCCACCCATGACCCGAGCTTGAGCTAAAGTGTGCCACCCATTACCGGAGCTTGAGCTAAAATGCACCAACCTTAACCGCAGTTCCTGTGGCACTCAGCCTGTCATCATTTTTTTCCTTTGTGTACATTATTTCGCCTATGCCGTATTGAAGTTTGTTGTTTAAGTCCATATCTGTTGCATCATACAAGAACACTGGTGAATCTTTGTTGCTATTTTCAGACACTTCTACACTTCTCGATGAAAACCGAAAAATTGGCGCTTCATCATTGACATCGGTCAATGTAATCTGTAGAAGCAACAAACAATATTATAAAAACTTCAGATTAAAAAATGTTAAATATTCAATTTTCAGTGAATAATTTGTCATATTATATATGAATATAATCATGAAATGTATTCCTTTTAATTATGATTTTGTGTTCTGCTGTCCTTAACAGATCAGCACCTTCAATTGTTAATGTACAAGGGACTGCATTCAAGCTATGTAAAGTAAATAAACAGTGGAAAAAGAAATGTTCAGCCTTAAAAAAGCAAGACAATTACAAGTATTTTTTGGAAAAATGCCTTCTTCAGCAGACAAGACACAAAAAGCAACAAATAGAAATTTTTTAATTTGTAATGTCCGTGCCGTTTTTTTTTTTTTCATATAAACATATTTTCTTCCGTTATGTATTTACCAATAAATTTTGGAGATTAAAGTTTTTATATGATAAAGTAAAATTCAAAGCCATTTGAACATATTTAGCGATTGCTCTTTAGATGTTGTTTTTTTATTTATGTTTTAAGTATGATTTATAAAATATTCCAAATCCACAGTGTAAATTCTCAGTAATTTATGTACTTTGTTGTTAATTTAAGCATTGATAAATATATATACTTATGCATGGTAAAATAAATACCTTAAGAGAGCAATTGCCAGTTAGAGGTGGTGTGCCTCTGTCAATGGCAGATATGGTAAGTGTGTAAATTTCTTTTGATTCTCTGTCAAGGTCAGCTCCCTTCTCTACCTCCACCGCTCCAGTCTGAAAGTTTATTCTAAATTTGTCAAGGGCCCCACTCTCAATACGGTAAATAAACTCATTATTAGGACTGGTACCATCAAAGTCAGAGGCATTGACTGTAATCACCAAAAAACCTGTGAACATCAATAAATAATAGTTTAACAAAGGTGGTTTCATGATGACCAATAACACATATTGGTCTTTCCACTTCATATTTTTAAGAAATAGCACATTTTTACTGGGTAACTATTGAGAAAATTACCTTCCGGAGAATTCTCTGGCAAAGAAGTAGAATACAATGTGTTGTAAAAAACTGGAGGATAATCGTTAACATCCTGCAGGAAAACAAAGAATTCATTGAAAAATCCATTTTTCCACCCTTTGGTTTTTAACTTTTAAACTTAAACAAATTTCTAAATCCAACTTTGCAATGTTTTGTAAGAAATGAAAAAACAATAACACTATTGGAGTTTAAATGGGTTTCTCTCACAAATATATTTAAAATGACAGAAGTATATTAATGTCATTTCTTGGACAAAAAATATAATTTACAGTTAAATCCAGTATTAAAAAAAAAACGTTCATAAATTAATTAATCACAAAGTTAAAAATCACAATCAATGGAAGTTGATTACATCAGATCTACAGTTCTTAAAGTCTAAACACATAAACCAGGTTATAACCACCTGCAATGCAATCACAATTTTCATGAATAAATAAGCATAATTACTTTTAACCATGACATTTATTTGGCCGTGGTGTAAATTTAAAAATAAATAAATGGTAATTGTAGATGGATAAGAAACAAACCTATTCAGCTGATACATTTGCACCTTCAAATACTAACATCTTCATTACTTATTTTGCTTCCTACCTCAACAGTAACATTGACGATAACTTGTGAAGACAGTGAGGGAATCCCAGCGTCATAGGCTTCAATGATGAGTGTCACCAAGCCAGCCAACGATTTGTCTAGTTTCTCATAATCCAAGGGACTGGTGATTGTTATCACACCAGTTTTATTGTCAATTGTGAAATTAGTGCTGAGATTTGGTGGAGTTTTCTGGATTCTGTAGGAGACAAGGCTGTTATTGGTGTTAGCCTCATCTTCATCAAATGCCTGTCAAGTAAATGAGATAGAATGGGTAGTGACACAGGATTACCATAATAAATGGCATGAAATGCTACATTGCTTGTACTTTATTGATGTAGAATAAGACCTAAATAAATTTTGGAGAAACCATCTGTTTTTTAATTAATTTTTAAAAAATAACCTAAGAATTATGTATGACAATAATTTAGATTTCTTATATCCATTTTTTTTCTCAGATGACATAATTCTTAAGACAGAAGCTCAGGGAATAATTGTATGTGTCTAAATCATATTCAAATAGAATATTGATATAGTTATTTTTCATATCTTACAAAATTTTGATACCGGTAATAGGATTTCTAAGGCTATTTTACATAAAGACAATTATTAAAATTGGATTAATTACTTCCACTTTCAAAGGTCTCAGAAACTGAAAGGATCTCTCTTTGATAATTCCATAATAATCATCTCTCATAAACACAGGGCGTTTGTCATTGACATCCAGCACTGTCATGGTGACCTCAGCAGGTGTGCGCAGACCACCACCATCTCTGGCTTCTACTGTCAAGAAAAATTGGTTGATTTCCTCACGGTCTATTGAACCAGCCACTCTTAAAATACCTGTTTTGGGTTCTATGCGAAATCTGAAATCAAAGTTGGTTTTCATAATTTTATACTGAATTCGACAGTTGCCAAAAGTGAAAATATGCAAAGACACATTTTTTAAAAGTCCTATTCATAGGCAAATATCTACAATAACCATGCATTTTTAATATTCATGCATTATATCACAATGATAAATCTGCACAAAAAAATTCCATAACTAATTTTTGTAGGTTTTAACTGTTAGAAAAATTGAAAGTAAACCTAACTATATATAAGACAATAATTAGAACAGTTCTAAAACTGTGATGTGTTTCATAAACCAAATAAATTTTCATAATATTGAGATAAACAAATGCAGAACAGTAACTTAATTTAGCAGGCTTTAAAAATAGTTTTAATCTTATTTTAATTTTTAAATTTCACTCATACCTGCCACTGCCACCTTTTAGAAAAAATTGAATTTCTTTGTAATTTCCTGAGTCTAGGTCTGATGCCTTGAAAAGACAGAGGAGAAGAAAGAAGACACATTCAAATAATCTGAGGGAAACTTTCAAATATTTTGTTTTTTTAAATAAATTTATTTTAATTTTCATCATGACAAGTCTGAATAAGAAAAAAAAAAGTGAGCAATCAAAAAACCAAAACATTATCTAGCTTTGCCCTAAAAAGAAAATCATACAAAAATTTATAAAATATCTTATCACAGTTGAAAGTTTTCACTTACCATAAATTGGTACAGAGATGCATCCAATGCTGCGTTCTCATAAACACTAAGACTATAATCAGTTTGATTAAAGACTGGTGCATTGTCATTCATGTCTTCAATCTCTAAAGTTACTGTAGATGTACTTGAGCGCCTTTCAACTGTGTTAATTTCTCTGGCCACTACCTGTTATATTCACAACATAAAACATCACTTTCTATTAATTCTTTTTAAACATTTTAATGTGTAGACCTGCTCAAAATAATGGCATACAATAATTGTGTTTAAAGGCAAAGCAAAAATTTAGGATGACAGCAGAGACTTCAAAAGAATTAATTTGAATAATAAAATTATTGTCATTATTAAGATAAAAACAATTTGATAACAGTATTTTAAAATATTTTTTTATAATATTAAATGAATGATAAATTTCATCTACTGAAATGAAAAGTAATTTTATTTACTAACATTAATCAGAGCATAAATTATTGGAATGCCAACAAAAGTCTTTGAAAATTATTTTATCATAATACAATAAAGAATAACACTGTGCTGGATCAAACCCACCTGAAATATTAACCTCTGATTCTTTTCATAGTCCAAAGCATCTGAAGTGTTGACTCTAATTAGGACTGCTGATTCTGAATAAATTTCTTGCGGCAGGGGGGAGAAGTCAAAGTAGCTTGCACCCTTCATCTCTAATGACACAGCAAAATGGCTGTTATCTCCCTGGATTAAAGATAATTAGGTTATCTTAATTGTGGAACTCATGTTTATTTCACAACTACGTTTTATTTTAAAACTCCGGAATATTTTATTATCCTGTTATATTTTATCATCTTGACAGTTGCATTTGATTAAAAAATAATATTTTTAAATTGCAGTTAACTGACAATGTTACAAAAGCCTAATTTTTGGCTGACAAATTGATACTTGAACTAAGGCTGGAATGACTCGAAAAGACAGTTTTAAATTAATAGAGCGACAATTTGATTTTTTTTTTCTATCTGTTCCATAAGGTGTGTAGATTGCTTTAATGTTGTTTGAGATCACTTATGAGAGTAATTAATTGCATTAACATTGTCCCAATGTTGAGTCTAACTTTTATTTATTACTACACTGAAAAAATTTTTTTAAAGTATAACAAATTTATATGAGCTAATAAAAGAGTAAATGCAACTAATACATTTTTAATAACAGCTTTATTTAAAATTTACTAGAGGAGATAAGGTACGAATGTTTCTTGCACATCACTTACATATTTTTGGATCCATATAGAAATATTACTTCAAATTGTATAAAATATGGGAATTGATTTTTTTTTTAAATGTAAGTTAGCTATAAAATAATGAATAAATTATTTAAAAAAAAAAAAAAAACAGAATGAGAATTTTTGGATCCATATAGAAATATTACTTCAAATTGTATAAAATATGGGAATTGATTTTTTTTTTAAATGTAAGTTAACTATAAAATAATGAATAAATTATTTAAAAAAAAAAAAACAGAATGAGAAAACATATAAAAATCCAAATCCCTGGGCTTGATTTAACAATAAGCTATTTTAACCCTGTCTTAAGTATTGGGCTCTTAATTTAAAGGCTTATATAATATTACAAGTTTATATCAATCACCCTCATTATGTACACATTTAATCTTACCTGGTCGATATCAAAGACTCTCATGATATTTCCTATCAAGCTGATGGGTACGCCTTGAGGCATGTTCTCTAGGATTGTTGCATTGTAGTTTGTTTGACTAAAGGTTGGTGCATTGTCATTAACATCTAGCACTGTGATGGTAACCAAGGTCAATGCTGTTGTATTCCCCTTGTTTACTTGCCCAGGTGGCACCACCTCAGCTGCCTTCATTTGTATAACATAAATGGATAACCAGACTCAGGTATAAAAATTATTTTTAACATACAAAAGTAATAAATATTTATTTGGAAGTACATTTTTTACCCAGTCTAATGAAATTTTTTCTTAAAATGTATTTAAAAGTTTTTTCTGCTCTGACTTACCTTAACTATCATGGCATAGACTCCACCATTATTTCTCATAGCCTCTGAATCTCTATCTAATGATGATTTAACAGTAATGACACCAGTTGTTGGATCAATATTAAAGTTGCTGTAGCTACCTATTTTATTATTTTTTGAAGAAAGGATTAAATATATAATAAAATAAATATATTTTAATAATATTTATTATACGCATAAATAATAACAATTAATTGAACATGGTTTGACAGGTGTAATGGATACATCATTAAACTTGACTAAGGACACAATAAAATAATAATGTTAATTTATAGATATATGGTAAGTAACATTCACTTCAATGATACAGGGTATTTTGTGTGTTTACTTTTATTTTAGGTTTATCAGTCACCAATCTAGTTCTATTTTTGGAATGTAAAGAATCTATGAAATATGTATGAAAGTTGGATGTTGATGTAAAAAATAATATGCTTACTGGAAAAGAGAATCTAAAGCATTTATGATATTTGTTAAACATGTTGTAAAAAAAATATAATAAAACATAATAAAACATAAAACCATATGTCACAAATTTATGAAAATGAAACTTCTTTTACTAGTTTTACTTTGCATTATGCACATATTCCGACCATTTTACTCACCACTTTCAAAGCTGTAGGTAATGTTATTAGGAATACCCTTGTCTCCATCCACAGCAACAACCTTAAGTATTGACTTACCCTGGAGAAGTGAACATTGTAAAAATTTCAAGAAAAAGAAAAAATTCTTAATCAATGCATTGTATCATAATGTGTCAGCCTTATTTATGGGCAAGTGCAATAAGATTTTTAAAAAGACCATAATTAAGATTTTCTATACATTGTGATGGTATTTTATAGAGAATCAATATGACTTTTAAATGAATTTTAACTTCACTTTGCTAACACTAACACTGGTAAATATGAAAATTAGGAAAATAAAATAATCAAAAAAGCATTGATCTCCAATTTAAAATGTAAGATTTACTGATAGGCTGCAAATGCACATGGAAGTCCATAACTGAATGCTAATGGCTTTGCAAAAATTTGTGAGTAACAATATCTGAAAATGTTTAGCATATAAAATAGCCTGCTTTCATTTGAATAGTTAGAGGATTTTCAGATTTTTCTAAAAATAGGAAGAAATATGTTAATGTCATTTAGGGAAATAGTAGCCAAGTAAAAGTGACAGATAAAACCGACTCACCACTGTAGCATTTTCATATGTTTGTTCACTGTAAGGCAAATTGACAAATATTGGTGCTGTGTCCTGGACATCTAGAACATAAACAACAAAACTGGCAGGGTCAGCTTTCAGACCACCTTGGTCCTGTGATTAAATAAGAAAACTATGCCATTAGTACGTCCATTCAAATGTTAACATCAAACATTAATTAAGGTATATTTTGCTCTTTTGGCAAAACTTTGAGACATCTTAAGCATTTTGAAGTATTTTTACACATTTTGATGATTAATGATTTCACTAAGTTTGTTATAACACTAAAATTATTTTGTAACATTTGAATTATACATAGTCTTGTTTTCATATATCTATATAGCTTATATATTAAATATTTTAAATGTGTATAAATTTTATCACAAACCCCATTATAATTATTGAAAATTTATAGAGAAAAATGATCTTTCAGGCAAACTATCTTTAAGTAGAAATAACTTTTCACTTTATTCCACTGACATTTCTGTAACAATAAATAGTACATGTTTGTCCTTCTTAAATTACAAGAAATACTAACTCCATAACTTTTCAATCTTAATTTCAATTAAGCCTGCATTAGAAATGCCTTATATGTGTTCAGTTGCTCATTAAATTAAGTTAGAAATCATACATATCGAGAGTATAAATGTATGATGTAAGCTTTAAAAATATAAGCAAAAAAATAAATATAAGAATTAATTGGCCATTGTAATGATAATTGTTTAGTTAAAACAACCAAGATTTGTGAGCTTTTCTTTAACTTTTCAAAATTTATTTGTTAAGAAATTTTAATTTCTTTAAAATTTTATTTTAATGCTTTACAACTTGAAAAAAAATCAATTTAGTAAATTAATTTTTATGATAGCTTACATTTAGTAAAACATAATGTTTACAATTCCTTCAAAACTAAAGTGACAAACAACAAAGTTACTGAAATCTGTCTCACAGATGTATTTGATCTCAAATCTATAGTAAATATATCACATATGTTTTTTTCTGTACATAATCCAGATAAGACTTCTTTAAGAACTGTAAACATGTTTTAAATGCTACAAAAAACAAAATAAAACTTGTAATGAATTTCCTAAAGACATTTAAATTTGATGGAGCTTTATAAAACATGAAGCAGAACTCAGATCTGTGTAATCCCCCTTACCACTGCCATGATTTTGAATTGGTAATAGCTGTGTTTCTCATAGTCCAGTGTGCGGTTCAATGTTATATGGCCAGTAAAAGGGTTAATTATAAAAGTTGTTTTGTATTCCTCATCAGTTGCCTGGGAGAAGGAAGCATTTATCATCAAAAGCAGCATGCTAAACCATAATTTACGTGAAAATGTGAATCATTTAGTAAAATTTGTTAGTGATGAGAGATGGATTTTGCTTTTGAATTTCAATGAAGTGCTTGGAATATGAATTCAAACACTAAGATCAGAACATTTATAATAACATTTTTATAATAACTCATAACTATTTTATAATAACAATTTGATAATTAATATTCTATAATTAACTACCAAATGTGTAAATTCAAATTTATAACTGTATTTCTCTAAATACATTCAAGCTATTATTTTATCATCCAATAAGAATGTAAAGAGCCTAAGCCTTTTTAATCTGCTTGCGTGCTAAAATATTAAATTGTTCATTATTATTTAAAAAATTCACTGTCTATTATTTATTTCAAATAGTTTCAAAAAAAAAATTTCAATAATGTGCTCAACATTTAAAATATATAATAGGTCTTATCGACCAGCTGTCACCAATCATGATATAAAACTATTTTAAAAGCATTTGTCATTTTGCAATATTTGATCAATAGTTATTGATCTCTTTTATTTAAAGTTTAAATAATTTCATTTAAGCCTGATAAAAATGTTGTATAGATATGTTTTAATGCTAAACTAACAAAAATAGCTTCTTACCTGAGCATTAGTCTACAAGAAAAAAAAACAATAATTTGTAAATTTAAAATATAATTTATGATTTTAATGAATTTCATTAAAATAGTTTTTTTTATTAATTAGTATTAATGACTTAATCACTTTCAAGCATTGTAATACAAATAACTCATTAAATACTTTGACAATACATAAATCATACTAGGCTCATCTGAATGTATGACTGATGTGCTTTAGTTCACATCTGAATGTTTGACTAGTGTGAGTTTTATTAGAGAAGTAAAAATGTATATTTCAACTTTGTGGGCCCATCAGCCACATTTTCATGTTTTAAATTATCCACTGATGTATAATGATAATGCTTTGAGTGTTAATTAAATTATATTTAAATTGAAAATAACCCTTAGAGAGAATATAAATGTAAACTTAATATATATTTATATATGAGTTTCCCACCTCCATTGAGATTTCCACCCGAGCAGTGTCTGGATCTACAACTGAAACACCAGAATACACAACAGTATTCGCTTGAGCGTCCTGAAATTTGTGGAGTATTTATTGACAAGTGATATACAATTGAAATAAACAAAAGGTATATTATTCTTAAAGACTAGATTAATATTTGAAAAAACACCAACAAACAAACAATTATTATTTAAATAATATGACATAATAAAAAATCTCTCACAAATTCCTTAAAGTACACAGACAAATAAAAGAATTGACCCACACCTCTTTAATCGTGACTTCATAGGGCAGGTTGACAAATTGTGGAGCAACATCATTAACATCTAGTATGTACAGTTTTATCAACACTGGAATCTGAGTTGGAAAAGAAGTTTGGTAAGTTGTGTTTAATTTTTATACTTTTTTAAAATCATAATTAACCAGTGGGTAGACATATTCAGATTTTCCAAAATAAACCCACATTTTTAGCCACTAGCTTTGCTGTTCTTCTAGTAGATGGCGCTTTCTGCTTCACTGGATATAGGGGAATTGTTTGGATATAGGATTGAGTGGATATTGGAATAACTGGATTTAGGATTAACTTAATATACCAGTCAGTATCGATTTGGATATGGTGAATTTATTGGATTTAGAAACATTGATTGGATGTAGGAGAATTGATTGGTTATAGTATTAACTGGATATAGGAGGATTGACTGGAAATAGAAGGATTGAGTGGATATAGGAGGATTGACTGTTTATAAAAGGATTGAATGGAAATAGGATGGACTGGATATAGGATTGACTGGTTATAGGAGGATTGACTGGATACCTATGATTGAATGGATAAAAGAGGATTGACTACATATAGGACGACTGATTGGATATAGGACGATTAGCCTAAATGGATATAGGATGATTAATTGGATATAGGATGATTAATTGGATATAGGATGATTAATTGGATATAGGATGATTAATTGGATAGGATGATTAATTGGATATAGGATATAAGTCTCGTGTCTTTCGCTATACATTTACTTTTAATGTCTATGGCAGGGACTCTGGTGGTGGGGGGGGGCAGTGCAACCATCACGCGAGTCCACATCACTACTGGCACTGGCTACATAGCTAGCGACAATATTACTTGAAGTTATAATATAAATTAGGACGTTTTAGTGATTTGAAAATGTGTTTGGTTTAATAAACGGGATATTTAGGCGTTCCGAGAAACTTTTTCGGGACAACAGGTACAAACGTGAAAAACGGGTCAATCCCGTTTTTACGGGACTTTTGGTCCCCCAAATTTAGGATCGCTAGAAGACCATTTAAATCTCGGTAACGTCCTAGATACAATAACTTAAGCGGGAAATTATATAACGAAATTAATTATGTGATAAAAGGCTTAATCTGTGACTTCCACACAAAAATTAAAAAATTCACGCAAATGACATCATGGCGCCAATTCCCTGCACATTTGACATGGACATGAGCCATTATTTTTTCCATTGTTCCAAATCTCTCGCGTTTTGAGCAGATTTCCAAAAAAGTGAAAGAAGTTGTAGTTGAGTTGTGTTAAGATGAATTTTTTCTTGGCTTTATTCATATTACCGGAAAGACAGCCACAGCAATCGCTGTAGAAATGAAATTCATTTTATAACTGCAGAGCACTATTATACGATACTGAGGTCGCGATGTCATGCAATCAGTATAGTGTCCAAAACATTCAGGTCCAAATTTATTGGCATCTTTTGTTCCATTAAAAACACACTTTAAATTTTGTTGAATTCCATACAGAATATGTCAATATTCTTGGTGTAACTGCTTTGGAATACACGGTATTAGATTCTTTGATCCGCAAAACCCCTTTGAGGCTTGTTAAAAAGAATATGCGAAGTTATCTTTGAAGTTCCCTTCAGATACAAGTGGTAACTTTAAAGCAGCGTATGTGACTACTATTACTGCGTCTGAAACTATTGGCTTTGAAGCACTTGGTAGAGATGTGTCTGAAACTATTGGCCTTGACACACGTGGTAGAGATGTATCTGAAACTTTTGGCATTGACACACGTGGTAGAGATGTGTCTGAAACTTTTGGGATTGACACACGTGGTGGAGATGTGTCTGAAACTTTTGGGATTGACACACGTAGTGGAGATGTGTCTGAAACTATTGGCATTGACACACGTTGTAGAGATGTGTCTGAAACTATTGGCATTGATACACGTGGTAAACATGACAATGTGTCTAAAACTTTTGGGATTGACACACGTAGCGGAGATGTGTTAGAAACTTTTGGGATTGACACACGTGGTAGAGATGTGTCTGAAACTATTGGCTTTAAAACACGTGGTAGAGATGTGTCTGAAAATTTTTGGGATTGACACATGTGGTGGAGATGTGACTGAAACTATTGGCATTGACACACGTGGTGGAGATGTGTCTGAAACTATTCACATCTACACACAGTGATGTTGGGTCTATGTGTCTCTATCTTTCACAACTTTAAATGTTGCTCTGTTGTAATTAAATGGTAAAAAAAAATCGTTCTACTTCATGATGGAATCAAAAATAAACTTGGGGGACTTTCAATCAAACTACGCCAAAAAATGGCAAAGCCCAGGGACAATTTTCCTTGTTAAGCACAGCCGTGAAGTTTAGGGACGTGCAGGTAAGGGAGACCCCCCTAAATTATACACAAAGTATGCAGCAAGGTTCAGCAGATGTGACTGTGGGTAGATTCATTAACTGGAAACATACATTAGTGACTTGCTGGGCTTCTAAAAGGATGTGGTCAAGTAAGAACACAAAGCTGTAGACCCAGCCAGTCGTTAACAATTACTCGTATATATTTGAAGCACAATAAAATACAAATAAAATAGAACCAAAAAAAGGTATCAAGTGAAGAAACGTGTCAGCTTAGATGTAAATAGATTTTGGCTTCTTTACAGATGAAAACTGACTTCTTACATTGCATTGAAGTGTTATATTGTTATTTTTTTTTACCAATAAGCGTTAAAATATTTACCGAACTCGCTCCATCTGATATAGAAAAATACAAAGTCCTCATATTAGGAGCCTGCAATACAAAGAAATACAAATGATTAAACCTTACAATCTGGCCATACAACAATTGAAGTGTGAACGTTAAAAATTTTACGTCACAAAATTGTCTAATCAATTGCTCTGGAAGTTATAAAAAAAATGTTGTACAATTAAACAAATATTGTTTTCCCAATTACACAGCTTTTTTGGAGTAACAATAGGTCTATTAGTTTAAAACATATCTGTTAAGTTTCAAGAATAATTACAACTCTAACCCAATAAACCTACATTCTCAAATATCCATTTTGCATATAAGAAATATGACAAATTACTCATGAAAGTTTTCAAGTATTCGATCTAACTATTTTCTATGATATTTTAAATTTAATATATTTTTGTAGTTATATAATTTTTTTTTTAATTTCAGTTTACCTAACATATATTCAGAGACTAACATATTCGTGTATGAGTTACAAACATACTATGTTCTTAACATAGTCATGTGTTTGTAGTTTCTTGGAATATTAAGGATAGTAAGCTTACATAGTCTCTATCAAGTTGCGTCTTCAGGATGATGTCTACTATAGAAGATGAATTGGTGAGCCGTCTTGGCGGGCTCAGTGAGACAAGCTCCTTGGTGGCGTCAGTGTCGCAGTAGAATGTTAGCGGGTCAGGCCCATCGAAATCTTCACCAGTTATGTTACCTATCACAGTCCCTGGGATATAAGTTTGAGACTTGGTGTTAAATGTAACGACAACGTACACATATATTTTCTAGTAATATAAACAATGTGTTTATCATTATTCATTGGATCTAGCTATACTATTGGGACCAATTGCCAAATACTGGTTTGACAGACCATTTTTAAATGTTAAATATCGAAATCTATTGAATTTAAAAAACAATTAATGAAATGTTTAATTAAAAGTATTTCTTAATACAACGTGTAAGCCTGAGAAGACGAAGAAATAATAACATAAAACAAAACCAAAATATATATCTTTATTAATTAGAGTTACACATTTTAAAACTATTAATAAATTTCATATGAGGGAGGCGAATACATAAAAAGTTAAAATTAACTGGCTGATTTAGTTAAGAAAAGAAACCAGTGAGACCAATGCATGAAATGTATACAAGAAATGAGCTGACATAATATCATCTTTACCTACGCGTGTATCCTCCGGTTTATAGATATTGCGTTCATAGTTACCAGACTGGGGAGGGATGTTGCCATTCACTGGAAGAATAACGAAGAAAATTAATTCATTTTCATCAAACATCAACGACGATATCAAACATATTCAATCTAAAGAAAGATGTGTTAAACTGCAATCTGTTGTTGTTGTTTTTTTTCATCATGCCCCAAGACAGAATGGCGCATGTCCAAATGGCTACTGGGTTTCGGTGATGAATCCATTCAAACTAAACACCATTTTATTTCAAGACCCTTTTAAACTATCTTTATTTAAAATTGTTATTTTAAAATAATTTCATGATGAAATGTAATAAACATTACTGTGTAAAATTCTGATGAAAAAACATTGCAGTTTAATACTCTGCAATATTCTTTAAGTAACGAGTGTTTTTAAAAACAAAATAAATTGGGTAAGAATGTCAGCTGTTGCTGAGATACATTCCAATAAATAAATAGTTTTATTCACTGTTGTAGATTAACATTTGTATTAAAACGTCGAAGACATGGGCAGAGGTACCCATGAATGAATCTTTCTGACATATTGACAATCTGAATATGAATATGACAATCTCAGAAAATGACAAAACATTATGGGTGAAACTGCCAGACGTAAAGACAAATGAATAAGTTCAAAATCAAATACATTATGAAAATTGCCAAGCATGTATCTAAATATAATATATCTGCAAAAAAAATTGGAAACAAATTTCATAAATGCAATATATACAAACAATACACATGCCATGTAAAAAAAAAAAAAAAAATGGAAGAAATAAAATACAATCATTATATAAAAACAATAAACAAGACTTATTGTAAACTCTTTTTAACATTTATTTTAACGTTTAACTAGAGTAACTTTTTCCTGTTTGGAATACCGTATTTTGAGCCCATATTTCACTGGAGCCCAGAAATCCCAGAGAGCCGAAAATCACGTAGGACAATTTAATATTTTCCCACATTTTGAGGTATTTAGTTTCGACTACCAGATGTATCCTTTACTAAGTTTTCTGTTAGGTCAATATAGCTTTGCCACAAGCCTGATGATTCTATTATAGTGAATGTCATATACTCTAGTTACAGGCTACGACTAAACAAATTACTGTTACTAATTAAATTATGCCTTTTGTTAAAATTAAAATGTCGTCTGAAAATACTTTAAACGATAACAGTGGTGAGGTTCATACCCACATAAGAAACATACATTTGTCGCTGTGATGTTCATATCCATAATATTATATATTCATGCATTTGTACACATTGACATCTTTTATAGCCATCAGATGCTAATAATTTTACTGAGACATTTTTGTTTTAAAATTGAGACATAATAAGATTGTATATTGTGGTAATTTATACCAAAAAAGACATATAAGTTTCTCCCTTATTTATAAATTAAAAGGAAATGTAATTAACTGAAAACAATGAATGCTAGAATGAATAAAGTTAAGGATAGAGTTAAAGGATTGCCAAATACATCAGAGCTAAATGTTTAGGGATGTAATCAAAATTTTTGAAAACTCCAGGCCAAAATTGTTTTCTAAATTAATATAAGACTTACTTTGCGCAAAATAAGAAGGAAAAAAAAAACCCCACAATTACCAGGTGGAAACTGAAATAATGCTTTTGAAAAAGTAACAATTTGATCTCTGGTTCAAACATTTGTGAGGGAAAAATAAATAAAACAGTGTCACCAAAATAACAATCCAACCAAAGTCCTTTGAGGTTTTGTGTAAAAAAACTAAAGAAAAAAAAAGCCTCTAAGGTAAACTAAAGGTCCATCTCCTTACCTTGGGCCAAAGCGGTATCTACGAATGAATAAATGAAATTATGGTTTAAGGACATACGAAAACGTGTCATTGACTAACAAAGTGCCAACAGAGAATAATATCATCAGCACCGGTAGCAAAAACTGAATGGTTTGATCCTCGGGTGCGCTCGGGATGAAACAATGATTGATTGTAAATAAAAAGGGAATGAAGAGGTGGTGATGTTCAACTACTACAGATTTAAAGCTCTTAAACGAATAAAAACTAAAGTGCGAATAATTAATATACCAATTTTTACAACATATTTAATATATTGAAAAAAGAAAAACAAAAAAAAATACCTTTAAAGTTGATTTTCATTAAAAATGTTTTTAACTGTTTGCTGAAATTACTTGTTTAGGTTTAGGCCTACACTTTCCTTACTTAGAAGAAAACGCCTGTCAAGAATCTTTTACAAGTTTAATTGTGAACACGAGGAATACAAATAAGAAAGATAAACATAATATCTAAAATAATTGAATAAAAATGATTTGATCCTGCAATAAAGTGACGTTACATTGTGGCAAAAGATAAGTGGGAAAATGAGTGATGAGATTTTTTAACTTATAAATTTGTTAAGTTATTGATTGTTTAAGTTATTCATTCAATGAAAAGAAATCTTATCATCAGATAATATTGGTTAAAAATCAATAACTTTTTTATTTAGATACCCCGAAAGGTTAATTTATTGATTTCGTGAGAACAAATCCAAAAATTGAAATTTAACAATATTTAAAAAAAAAATTAAATGGTTACTTGAGGCATAAAGAAAAAAAAAAAAGTGACGTCATGAAGAATTTCTATGAAATAATAACATCTACCCGGATGTACATTTCTACCACGACTAACCAATCAGAAGGTCCAGTTCACTATTAGCAGCAGGAAAGGCTCACATTAGAAGAAATCCAAAAGATGAGATGCCTGTTAGCTAATCTCAAAGCGTGCGTTTTGTTGACTTACCTAGCAGAATCAGCAATGACGCAATAATCGTCTGCCATATTAACCAGGAGTGAAATAGCGAGTAATGGTCAAGATGTGAAGTTTGAAACTTGGAGCTAATTACAAGTGCAGCCATCAAACCTAAAAAAACAGATACTTTATTGAGGCAGTGTCTAAATGATATAATATACATATTATATAAGTGGCATCGTAGGCCCCGCTTGGACGAAACAGAGCGATTATCGCCCAACACTGTCATGGTATTTGACCTAAGGGTTATGTTAAAACTGCATGTATGACTTCTCCCCATCGCTTATATATATATATATATATATATATATATATATATATATATATATATATATATATATATATATATATATATATATATATATATATATATATATATATATATATTATACAGGCACAGCGCTACACATTTTTGGGTTGGGTGAAAATAGGCAATTGTCGCCCTCTGGAAAATTATCGGAAGGGCTATGAATTTTTAAAAAAAAATATTTTAACAAATTTTACGGCCTTCTTGATGATTACGCACTGTACCCGCCTTGAACCGGCCATATTTTTATATATATGTGTGTGTGTGTGTGTGGGGGGTGTTAAACAATTCTCGTGTCACTTTAAGCACCTTGAAACAACTGTGGCTAGTAATTTGTATTTAAAGGACATTGTAGATTACACAGTACAAGTAATGCTGATAAAGAGGATGTGTGTATAGGAACAGTCTCTTCAACGTGGTTTCTCAGTCGTTTCAAAGCTGTAGTTCTGATTTCTGAGCAATAACTTTTATTGTATTTATGTACAAACTCTAAAATTGTCAGATTGGCAAAGAGCTGTTAGCACTATTTGACATGAAAATTCATGCTGAAACTGACAGGTCAAATTAATATTTATTTAGAGCGCTTACCTTTCCTGAAAGTAACTCTTTACCCGCCTTATGTGCCAGGCCACACGATGGCCTAGCTGAGGTGCAGAGGATTTTTTAGATTGCGTCTGATGAGGTCCATGGTGAATATCTGCGAATAGAATTTAATTAACTTAACATTTTATTTAACTCATAATCATGTTTTATACTTTTCATTAACTTTAAACAATAAGACTTAAGAAAATAATAAGCGTTTCCTGATAAACTATAGTTATGTAGAATGTCACTTATGGGTAGGCTAAATCAGAACTTCATTTGGGTAAGGCAGGTGGTGGGAATTTGCACGCCCCCCCCCCCTTTTCAATTTGTAGGTTTTATTTAAATCACTATGTACTGCGGCACCTCCAGTAATTTTTAATTAACTTAAAATTTTATTTAACTCATAATCATGTTTTATACTTTTCATTAACTTTAAACAATAAGAATTAAGAAAATAATAAGCGTTTCCTGATAAACTATAGTTATGTAGAATGTCACTTATGGGTAGGCTAAATCAGAACTTCATTTGGGTAAGGCAGGTGGTGGGAATTTGCACGCCCCCCCCCCCCTTTTCAATTTGTAGGTTTTATTTAAATCACTATGTACTGCGGCACCTCCAGTAATTAACAATTTAACAGGCCAACTAAGTTTTGGTTTTGCAACGCAAATTATAATGATGAAATGGTACGCTATAACGAGAGGACGACATTCATAGTCTATAGAACCTAGAGTGTAAGATTATATGTTAAAGTTGATCTAAACACTTACTTTAAGGCATTAATCTCATAATTTTAAGAATTGTGAGTTCTGTGAAGTATTGTGAGCTTAATCTCAATGAATGATTTCATT